AATAATTACAATTATTTATTATGACACAATATATGATATAATTATATGCTTCGGTACACTTCATCAGTCAATTTATTTTACCGTAAATGCATTTAACATACCAATTTCATATAAACCATTTAACCGATTATGATATAATACTACATGAAAATGCAATAAATTAATTTGAAAACCACAGTTATTAATAAATGTAATACGCATAGGCGTAATTAAAAGTTACATGTATATTTTTATGTAATAATATCTCATTATGAATAATTGTTTATAAAAATTATTTTCTCTTATCATAATTATGCATTATATAGAAATTACAACTTGTGCGTATATTTTGTCGCATAAATTTAATCCGGTGGTTCCCTAGATAAATATCATGTATGGTCAAGGTGTAATGAATTATATAATATTTGATGAAAATCTTTTATAATGAAAAATTAAAATAAGCAGCAAAAAAAAAAAAATAATAAATATAAGGGATTGAAATATTTTTAATTTTACATAATTTTATAACTGAATCATTTTCATACATAAATAATGGTAAGTATTTCACAAATTTATCTGCTATCTAATTACATTTATGCCTTACTTGGTTGTACGAATTTTCTATGATTTAAATATCTTAAGTAAATCAAACCACGTATTTTGTATTAAATAGTTTCTGCAAAAGGACAATTTAATCGATTTGTTTAGCAGTCGATTTATTTTTCAACATCTTCGACGTAATCAATGTTTCCTTAATAGTCTATTGAGTCCAATTTAGCAACACTTTACGTTAATTAACGACAATTACATTATAATCAACACTACTTAAAGAAGGCCATATAATACACAATTAACGGAATATTATAATACACTAATGATTGAAGCAAACTTGTTGATATAATCAAAGTAAATATTTGTCAAAATAATTATAATATCTATTCTTTTGATCGATAAGCTACGAAATAAGAAAGAAAAATAGTAGAAAACATTCGAATATGCCAAATGATTGAATAAAAGCATAATAATGCTATTAATTTAATGAAATAATAAGATTTTAATAACATAATGTAATAATAAAATAAACAAACGGATTTCTTCTTTGATTGCAATAGTGACTGAAGTTAAAAAATAGAATGACAAGTAAATTTTAATAATGATTTTTCATAATTAATACGCAATGATAGTACATGTGCATATATAACCGACTTTATCGATTCTACACTAATAGTTGAAAATATTTCGTATTAAGAAATTTCGATTTAATATCACTCTAAAATGTTTTAAAATCGACAGGTTCACAATTTTTATATAGAAAAAAAAAAACAAAAAAAAAACAAAAAAAAAAATTACTCTATCTGGTATATATTTTCATAAAACAAATTCTTATTTGAATAAAAATAACGATATTTTGAACAAAAACAGAACGACAAAAAAGCATCCCTATCATTTTGTCAAATAATTCGCATAACATCGAATCGAAATACACAACTTCGTCTATACTTATCAAAATACTAATCGTATATCTCCACAGGAGTACATGTGTATGTAGTGATAGCCAAATTGATCACAATTGATCGCCGCCTTTATCAAAACGATGTCATTCTGTAATTGCATTGATGAATTTAGCCAGCATATTTCAGGAGTAACATAATAAAAATATATCATTCAATATATTGAGTGGAATATCATTATTTACAAATATTTTGATACTAATATGAAGTTTATTAATGCCCTTATCAATTCTCTATTATTTGTTTGATGAATAAAGTTACTTGGCAAATTAAAAACAGAATGATAAATGTTTGAATTGAGTAATTCAATAAAATTAATGAATTTATAAATAAAATATTCCATTAGTAATTAAAAACTATGTTATGCATATTGTTAGAAATTTAAATTGTGAAATTTTTATTCGAACGAAATTTTGTTTTACGCATCAAATTTTACTAACCGTCAATGTTTTTGTAATTTGTTTAAGTTTTTATTATCGATGAAATTCATCATAGACCAAGCAATAGCAAGAGGTAAGTGAAAAGAAAGTGGAAAATATTCTTTTAGTCATTAATTTAAATTTAATTTTTAAAAACTAACGTTGCGATTATTTAATATAAGATTAAATATGACAATATCCGTTATTAATTTGTAATAAAAATATGGAAATTGTGTTAATTGAAAATTAAAAGCGCATAACTGCTTATTGTCTCAAAATAATAAAAGATATATAAAATTGATAAAATTCGGAGTTCAACTGACATTGCCAATGAATATTTTTATGAATTGTATGATTTTATTGTAATTATTCATTATGAATTATTCAACTTCTCGATATAAAAATAAAGATATTTTACAGATATATTTTCAGGGGACAAATACATAAATAGATGTACAAATATAACTGCCAAAGTAATCAAATTCATGTGTGTATCCTTAGAAATAAATGAATAATGCATATTTTCTAATTATAATTAAAGCGGCATTTAAAGCAAATTTATTTATTTTGGGATTATTTTGAATCAGGCGACATGCCTCAAGATTATTAATTGTATTTATGAAACAGTGATAATTACAATTTATGCAACTAACTATATTTATATATAAAATGTCAAAAGTATGGAAAAAATATTGACTTGTAACTAGTTAGAATACAGTTTACCAGTTTGATTTACTACTACACATTCATTAATTAAATGTGAATTTCATATGAGAATATATTAAAAATAATATCTTAAAATGCAGAGCCAATAATGGATGCTGACAATTGAAGGAGAAAATTCAACATTAATGAAAATATATATAGGGAAATATATTTTTGCAGTCAAGTGAACATTTGCTATTTCTTCAATTTAAAATGACTTATTAAATTTATTGTCTTGCTTTATCAAACTGTTTAAAATAAGAAAATTCTCAAATGATATGGATACATTATAAATTCTTTCCGAGAGAACTGAATTTACCGGAGAATGGTATTCCGGTATATCAACAAGTATTCGTCCATTTCGCAGACCAAATAATCGTGATGAACCTGTTTGAAAAATCTAAATATTAAAAATTAACTACATGACGACATCTAGACATTTTTTGGTTTGCAAAATATTTTTTTGTATTGTAGTTACCAAAAAATATCATATTTTACAAAGAATGCCGCATATACCGAGTTACTCATCTTACTTACCTCATTACATTTATTTATCAAAATTATACTTTTATCCTCTATCGTGCAAGCAAAGATAAATAATTATAAAGGTATTTTCTAACGTATGGAAATTAGAATATTTTAATTAAAAGAAAATATCAAACGACATACTTTTCAAATGCTTTTCACTATTTTATAATATTGGAACTGTCCATTAACCATTACGTTCAATTACATGCAAGTAAAATAAATTTATTATTTGTATTAATTAGATAAATACTAGGAGTGAGAAATAAAAATTATCGTTTTCTAGATACATCGACTTACTGGCGAATCGCAAGTAAGTGAGTTTCCGATAGTCGTCTCCTTCTCTCACACACGCGCGCGCATACACACTCACTCTTACATATGCGGAAGCACTTGCGGTGCCGGCACACGTACGTCTACAAACCTATCGGGTCGTCTACTGTCTACTTACCTACTCACTCTTTCTTGACTATGCCGCTCCTTTTAACATGTATATATATATATATATATATATAATATATATATATATATATATAAAGAGAGAGAGAGAGAGAGAGAGAGAGAGAGAGAGAGAGAGAGAGAGAGTACTCCCAGTAGATAAAAGAGAAATTCAACTGGAAAAGTAAGAATTACACTTGTGATAGTATATTTAAGTTGTAATTTTGAAAAATAATATTATAATAAGCATAATGTTCATCAATTTAAGATTAATCGACCGCTTTACGTCTACAAATTGCCAACTATAAATAACTATCAATCCATAATATAATTTATAAATTATTAAAAGTTTTTTTCTTTTAAATAAAAATTCGGTTACAAATTTTTAAAATTAACGATACTAAAATGCAGTTTTCCATTTTCATTTTCATTACTTTTCTTTGCATTTTATTTAATTTTCATTTTCATGCTTCTTCATCGCACCAACACCAAATACGCAAAAACTAAGGACGAATAACGCGATATAAAGCATAGTTATTGGACGTGATAAAACTAATCCAACAATTGACACGCTGTTTTCAGTGTGAAAAATATACACTTGATTAAACACCCGAAAAATAATAGTAAAACAAATTCTTCGCATTCAATAACAATTATACTTATCCTCAATGTGATTTTATGAATATAATAAATATAAATAATGATAATCGCTATTTGAATATTTATTTATGTAAAAAGGTTGAAGTTCGAAATTTAATTTTAAATAATATAAAAAATGTATGTACATTGTTTTTAAGGAAAAATGGCAAGACTCTAAAATTCTTTAGATGTAAGTAAAATTAAGGTGAGCGTATAGTAAATCTTAAGATATGATAAATAATATAAAATAAAATTGATTATTGATATTATTTTATGTAAAAGTCCGCGTAAAATATAATTTAATAGTGTATAATAAATAATTTATCTAACGGGAAATGGTTAGTAAAGCTAATTTATCATTTTTGTAATAATTGACGAATATTACAATAAACAATTATTATATTTTCACATAAATGTACAGTTCATTTATAACTAAAAATATAGCATTGAATTTGTACCTAAAAGTTTAATTTATAAGTAAAAATGTAGCACTGAATTCGTTGAAAAACTTAGATGTTAAATAATAACAAAAAAAAAAAAAAGTGTAAGATAAATATAAACTGAATTGCCTCTTTAATTTTCTTTATTAAGTAAAAATATTGTATGATATATTTTTATATATTATATTAATGATATTATGAATTAATTAATAAGTTACTGCTCTCTCTCTCTCTCTCTCTCTCTCTCTCTCCCTCTCCCCCTCTCTATGTATGTACTTATTTATGCATTTGAATATTTGAAAAATGTATAAAACGACTAAAATAAATTATATATGCACGCATAGTTCAATTACAGCTATTTCGAATGTATTTATTTAAAAGTGGCAATCATTCGTAACTACAATATCATTTTCCTAAAGCAAATGGAGAAGAATCTTTTGTTTTCAGATAAAATATTCCTTTAGTAGCGACTGGCGATTTCGTATTTCCACCCATTAAAACCCTATCGCCATAACAATTTCCCTTTTTAACATCTTGCAATTCAGAGCACTTGTACGCGTAAAATCCCTTTTCATTCGCTACAGACTCTGCGTACAGTTCACAAGATCGTGTATGCGAGCATTTATTGCTATTACATCCAGGTTGTTTGGCACCACCGTTTGGATAGAAGTCATAATGACCAATTGGTAAAGACATTCCACAATTTCCCTCGTCAGTGTGTATGACTTCGACAACATTAGCATCATCAGCTGTTAAACGACTGCTTTCATTTCGGTTCTCAAACGAAGGTAAAGCTGGGTCTAGTCCTGTAATAGTCGTATACAATACTGAAATACATTTGTTATTTCATATAATTAAGCTATTGATTACGTATATTGTAGGATGGAGTATTCGTATCGACTAAATTGGCTGTTTCAAATAAATAAAATATTCGGCGGGGTTCGTTTATGTATAGGTGAGTTGTTATTCTAGTCTAACAGATTCTAAATCATTGTAAATGAATAATATTAAACGAATAATGGTTATTGTTATTAATAATCGAATTGCAGTATGATAAATACATGAGACGAGACGAAGTTTGAGCAGTTTTAATTAATTATATCAAGTGAAGAAATAATAAATAAATGTAGTGAGTCTTGAAGAAAAGGATTAGGGATTCCGCATAATAATACTATGTTTAGACTTGTATGCTATTTCATGACGTAACTAACAATAAAAATTTAGAAACTTTTTCGTTCCCGATGCGATAAGTTCATCCTAATGATTATGGATGCTGCTGGTTGACAGGATCGTCATCGATAATTACACTTAGAACATCGCGTAATTATATGATTAATTAATTATATTATTTATTCAATGTTGCCTTTCGCTGCACATACACAATTACAATCACAAATACAATTAATACAATCTCTGACATATAGTTAGAGCTAGAGTTCTTCCATATTAATAAATTATGTTTAATAAGTAGATTAGTATGAAGAGTGATCCGATGAACTTTAAAGGTTTTACGTTGAATTACAACTCGTTATAATATTATTATGCTTAGTTGTCGAAAAAAATTATAATATGAATATGAGACTGTGGTTAATGACCAATTTGAAAATTCATGCACGAGTACGTCCAAGTATGATGACGTGGATCCCTTGTTATACATACGAAATTGCGTGTTATGATGGATATTTTCTCGATGGCGTAGAAAATACATTCACGAAACGAATGGCGAATGGAAATTTATGCGGAGGGGAAAATTCTCGGTACTTTAAAGCCAAAATGATATCCAGTGGATCATTAAACGATCCGGGTTCTCGTGATTACAACGCGAGAGCCACAAAGAAATGTGTCGGTGTATGCTGCAAAGTCGATAGGAAAAATATTTAAATGTATGAGAGTGCCGTGCGACATAGTATAATACGACAAACGTAATTTAACATTTAACAACTACTTAACGACTTGGTAAATTTATATTTTTTTTCTCGCAGTGCATTTAGCCAAGTCGAGAACTAAAAATACAATACAAATGCTTGCACGCGGGGTTATCACTCATGTAATCACATAAGGCGATCAGCGCGTTCTATAAATATAGGAAAATCTAGCGAGAAGACATTATATGTGCGACGGTGGTAGGCAATCATATCTTCTTCAAATATTAGAAGAAAATTTAAAAGAAAAAAAAAAGAATGGAATTATCTATCAGATGTTTGAAGTACGTTCGATTTAATAACACGGGATTACAGACGCTCATACATTTTCCGAAAAGCTTCATTTATTATTCCCAGCTCAACTTGATTTTACATAATTTATGAGAAATTGGCATTGGCAATTGTCTATAGATACTCGTTGGCATTCTAACCGAAATCGATCTAATTTTAGGATACGAGCATTCACAACTATAATGTAAAGGAAAAAATTAAAAGAAAAAGAAAACAATAACGAAGCTCTGCGAAGGACAATTGTTCATTGCTCTTAAGATTTTGGTTGACGATACGGTAATTTTCATGCATTTTACGATGAAATTCGCTATTAAAATTTTTCAGCCATTCACGCGTGCCGAATAAAGCCTTTTTCCAAACGAACGCTCGAGTTTTTGCAGTATCATAAAAATTTGTCGAAATAAATTTGAAAAGTCAACAATTTAACATAAATTTTGGAGAAACTCAAGCCAACGGCTCCCTAGATAAGTATCGCCTACCGCCAGCACACATAATGAACTGTACAATGTCTGATAATAATATTTCATAATGAAAAATTAAAATACACACACGAAGGCAAACAACAAATGTAATGAGTTGAGAACTTTATAATCTCGTATAATTTAGCTACCAGATAATTTTCGAATATGAATTATGATAATTAATTACTTTACAACGTACCAACAATATAATTAACTTTATCTCTTGCCTGATAAGCTGCAATGCCCATGACGTGAGCGCCTAAGGAATGTCCAATTAAAGTTGTTGTTTTTAAATCAATTCCATGGTCTGCAAGGTGATCGATCAATTTTGCCACGTATTTGCCCACGTGCTCGACATAATGTGCAACTTGCCAGTAGAAGCTGGGAATCGGTCCCCATAAAGATTGCAAAGGCCACCAATCGACGACAATCACATTGTAATCTCCATTATTCAAAAAGGCTGTTTAAGATAGATGTGAGGAATATTAGAACGGAAAAGGAGCATTGACTTGCGATAATTCATGATAATGTTAGAATGAAAGATATTAGCAAAGGTAATTACCGTCTCTTATGATTTTGCACGATTTGGCGTCTTTCGAGGAGAAATATCCGTGGGTAATAATTTTAGTATCTCGACGGGTATTCAAGTTACTCGATCGCCTCGTATTATCGAGATTGATCTGCTCCCCCTGGCGATCTTCACTCGTATACAAGTAAAAGAATACATATTTTTCTACGTCAACTTCAATTTCATTATCCACGGTGTCAGAGGCATCGATCAATTCGCTCTCATCCCAAACAACATCCACGGACTAAAATGAATGAAAGAGTGAGCGTAACATTAGCAAATAAATATTTTGTATTCAAGTTAGATAACATTTAAATGTAATTATATGTATATGTGTATATGGCCTACTCTGCCGATCGCACACGATATAGCAGACAGCGGTTGGCATCGTGAAATTCCGATCCTTAATATAAATAATAACAGTATGATAAAAGTGGGTGCCCTCATTCTTGATAATAAAACATACTTTTCGCCTGCAAACTTTATATTTATACGGCAATTGATACCTTTATCTTATGTACTTCAAAGTCCCGATAAAACTTACATAGTTCTTTATGGATTATATATATATATTTAATAAAAGATATTCCTCAGATTTCAATCGTAACGACTTTTTTTTTTCTTCTTACAACATTTTGAAGATTGCCAACGATAATTCATTGTATTATGAATAAAATGTATTAAAAAAAAGAAGGAAAAAAAAAAGAAGGAAAACAAAAGAAGAATAAAAAATGTATGAAATAGTCGTTACTAACAATCTCCCTCTGTGTAAATGTATAGAACATTGCGCATAACTTCGTCTAGGCTTATCAAAATCAGGTATTCCAATGTTACACTGGAACGTATGTACGTAGTTGTAAGCAAATCGATCGCGATTGATCGTCGCTGTTATTAAATCGACGTCGCCCTGTAATTACAAATCATAATGAGTATAGAGAAGAACACGTGATACGAATTACAAATTCAAAACATATGTCTTTCAATATATAGGCGCCATCCGTCATAATTTACAAACATTTACATGTCCCTATAAAGTTTCTTAACTTAACCTTCGTTTACTTTAGCATTCGTCCGATTTCTAAGTGCATTTTCTTGGCAAAATTAAAAACGGAATGAGAGTTATTCAATAATCATGATAAATTTATAATTAAAACTTTCCACAGGCACTTAGAACCGCTTATATTGCAAATAACTTTCAATCGATTGAAAAATTAAGCGATTCTAGTGATATTTCGTTTTTTTTTCTTCTATTTATATCTTATCCATTACTTTAAATTCTCATATTGCCAAAAATACAAAATTTATCGAGCAAAAAATATAATACAAAATTTATTTTCACAATTAACTGCTTAGAGACTCGATTTTTTAGATTCATTCGCTTCATTGTAGGCGAAATATCAGAAAGAAACGCATTGATTAAAATAAAAAAGACAATTCCACGAGATGCGACATTAATATTGAAATAATCTTCAAGTGTGCATTATGAGCTTATTAGCTTATAATACAAATATGTTAATTCAGATAATTACAACGAATATTATGCCGCTTTAATGTAATAAATGATAAATAATATGAATAAAATATTGCGTTTAATTCAAAATTATCAATGAATATATTTATTTGCCGGATGATTGCATCCAATAATTTATGACAAATTATTTATCACTTTAATCATAAAAGTATTTCTAAATATATAAGAACAATTAAGCGATATCCTCGCACGTCTACCCGCACATAGAAATAATAAGATGCGTGTTTAAAAATATGTGTGCACTTTATAGAAACTGTACGTTACAATGAATTAATTAAATCAAATATAATTTCATTTTTAACTGTATCAATTGAAGTTATGAATGATTTTAATATTTCAAAAAAAAAAAAAAAAAAAAAAAAAAAAAAAAAATAAAGAGAAATACGTTAATTATTAAATCGAACATATTTATCAATATAGATAAAATTATTGTCGCAAGTAATTAAATATCATATTTATAATAAATTAAAATTTCATTCAGCCGTATTTTTATTTTATGAATTTCGTTATAAATTCTTATAAAATAATACTAATTTCGTCTTTATTGGTACGTACATTCTTTCTAAATACAATTTCATTATCTCATTGAAAGCTCTGGAATATTTTATTCCTTTTCATTATCCTGCGGCATAAATTATCTTAACATCCGCTATTATGATAATAACCGAGGAGTTCTAAGATACTAAAATTAATTGACGAAAACTGCTTTTTCCATTATATCTTTATTAACGTGAATGTAATAATGCCAATATATTAATATTTATTATTACCGATGATAAAGTGCAACAAACTCGGGCATAAAAATATAATAATACAATATATGTCATAGATTGTTGAACAGTCGATAATAAATTGTAAATTAGCCGTGGAATAATATTTTTCATTTACTTGATTCTTTAATTAAAAATTCATTTGATATTTTAATAACAAACATGAGATTTTATTTCTGCAATTTTACATTCCCCTGTCGTGTCATCGTAACCTCTTATATCCTAGAGCAATAATACATATACAAACATACCAACTTACACGCTACACTTGGCATTCTAATATTGCATATACTCTTGTGTATAATAGTAGGTGAATATACAATGCCAAATACGTCATTAATTACGCGACAACGACATTGAAGTTTACTTTTTCAACTCCCGTACAACTTTTACCTCTATTAATCTCATTAGACAATAATATTGATGGTATTGAAAATATGAATTACTACGGAATGATAATAATGTTTACATAATTAATTATCGCTACATATACAAAATGTCCATGTGCATCACGAGGATAAAACAGTTTTTACTACGTTTGTCGATGTATTAATAAACGGGCGTTTGCGATGATGAAAAACGTTAGTTTGGCGTTGCGATATGCAGACGGTTATTCGTATTCAGGTAGAATGAATCATTGATTCGGATAGATCGTCAGTGATTTCGTAAATCGAGAGAGTTAAGAGATCGAATGATACACTGTCCATTCGAGCATCGAACTATAGATTAAGTAAAGGAAACTATTCTCTTGCCGAGGCGCGACACTCTCATTACACGAATTCTTCTGTAAGCAATATCTTTACTCTCCCACCCGCCCCTTTCGCCCCTAACCAATTACATTTATCGTTTAGCCATGCAATTACACTCACGAAGGCAGCATTGTGCTATTAAACGTGCAATTAATCTTGAATGGCACGAAGAAACGCTATCATTAGCCAGCATCCGTCATTGGTTCTGTGTATCAACGTCCCTTGAAAAAGGAAAGGCAAGCAAAGGGCAAAGGGCGGGCAACCGAAAGTCCGATAACCGCATTGAGCACAGCATTCGATAGGGCCGCGATAAAGAAAAAGGGCATAGGAGTTTGGTAGCATCGTTGCGGTGGACACCTCCGACTTTCAAATGCGATCGACCTAAGACCGAGCGACTGCATCCGGCGACTCGCCCTCTTGGCCAATGTGCAGAAGCGGGGTTACACGTGCGGAGAGACCTCTCCACGTCGAATGAGACTAGGAGGAGGAGGAGGAGGAGGAGAACAGGCCGAATGGAAAGCCGGGTATGGAGTTTCGAGGGGATGGAGCCGTTGCGAGCGAGAGAGACCTACAGTGACTAGCCTCCATCGATTTGCCATGCGACGCCATCTTGCCACCCTACGCTCGGGGTTGACCAGCCGCACACACGTACTCGCTAGCTCGGGATTCAAGCACATCGGGCTTGTGCCGGTCGACATTTTGAAAAATGATCCGGGAAGTCATCGAGAGCGGGCGGATTTTTTCCCTCCGACGGCTGGATGCACTGGCAGCGCGCGACGTGACGGCCCGCGTCGTCGGGGATATGCTCGCCGAATGGTATAGGAGAAATAATGCGTCCACACTGAAATGCGAAAAATTAATTATATCGGATTAATGCCGAATTAGGCCGAGCGTCTACGTGACCGATAGGGATTATTTATGCTGGACGCGGCGGGGAAGGGGATGGAGGTCAAATGGAGAGCGGAAGAGGTCACGACGGGCCCTCGGCAAATGACAAATAATACTTGTTTTTTTCTTCTTCCAGAATTTTAGCGCAAACTACATGGGATATTTTATATCGCAAACTACGTAAGCTGAGATTCGATGATTACAAAAGAACGCGCGAGAGTAACGATCGTGATAATATTGTAGCCGGATATCGGAGGAGATCTAATTTATTAGCCTCGTTTGTCATCACTGCGCGCATTCTTTAATCGTCAAAGAGAAAGTAATGGATTTAAATGTAAATTATCGGTTATATTTGAAATTATAAATATACATTTTGAGCAAAAAAAAAGAAAAAAAAAAGAAAAAAAAAAGAAAAAAAAAAAAAGAAAAACAATAAAAAATAAACAAACAAACAAACAAACAAAAAAGATTATCTAACAAATCAGTTTTTACTTCCTTTTACTAATAACACTTAAGATATTAAAAGATACGAACTTTACTCGACACTAGTGCTGACATTCTTATTATTATCACGCTGATCGCATTATTATTATTATTATTGTTGCTTTACACTGTTGTCGTGGTTATTGTTATCATTTTTACGCCTACTATTGACAATAGTTTATTAAGATATTAAAGTATTGACGACGAAGCGTTCTGCACTTGGGTATTTTCAAAAGTAACGGAACTAAGAACAAGAGTTTTTTAAATTCTATTAATGAGCCACGATTACATTAAATTATTACTTTTCATACTACAATTTTCTGTTTCATTAGTAATATGTAATATGATAAGCTTTTCATAAAGTGCGGTGTAAGAATAAATTTTCCAACAATACAATTAATAAATACAAATTGTACGTGACTTTTATTACAAATTATTTACTAAAATTATTTTAACATTTGTATTATAGACAATTTATAAAATAAAAAATTATGTCAATCTAATATTAATATTGTAGCTACGATTATTTAGTGCGCAGATTAAAAAGAAAAGTATTTCGAAATAAGAAAACTGTTTGTTTGAAAGCTAATATTTCGTAAATTTTTGATGAATTAAATTATTTTGAATGCAAATTAAAAAAAAAAATAAATAAATAAATAAATAAAATAGATAAAGTCGTAAGTAACATATTTTTTCAATTAATTATGTTTCATTGAAATGGACTACACATCTTTTAAGCAAAAACGAATACCATAACAATAACAAAAGATTACGCATTAATAATGGAGCAATAAGAGTATAATTTGGACGTTGTTCTTAAAGTATGAAATAGTGTAGCAAGAAAAGAGAAAGGAAATCTGATTTTATGGAATATAAGCAAATGTAAAATATAATTTGTTAACCGAACTCACAGTCGTGCATGATGTAATGATTTTTTTTCCCTCCGAGTTCTAATATTGAATTTGTACTTAAATTGAAATCAGGGATGCATCGCTTATATTTTAATTGGGAAAAGTTAAAATAAAAAATTTCCTAATAAGGAGTAAAACAAACGACATGAGAACATGTTAAGAAATCTGAATTTAATTAGTAA